TTTTTTTTTTTTTTTTTTTTGGTTCATCTTCTTCTCCTTTTCTCATTCATGGAACATAGAAATTGACAGAAGAGAGTGAGCACACAGAGGGGCTCGAGTATAAATCTATACTTGTGCTTTTGCGTGCTCACTTCTCTTTCTGTCAGCTTCCAGTGCCGGAATTTGATCATTCTCTGGTTATTTTCTGGCCTGTTTTGTTCTATTTTCTATCTTCTTAATCTCTTTACCTTACTTTCCCTTCCCTTCTCTCCGACTTTCTCAATGCCCTGTGGGAAACTTACACGAAGCTGGCAAAGATATTCTCATTGGAGAGGGAAACGGTGGTATTACCTGTTTAAGGATTAATTTTAATACCATTAAACTATATTTAATGTAGTTTTTGTTACTTTTTATGTTGTTTTGTGTGCTATTAAGCCTGATTACTGTGCAGTTTAGCGGTAAAACTATGTTTGTCGCATGGGACCATTCACGTTATATAGGTATTAGTTGCATAGAATGGTCCAAACTCTGAAACCCTTCTTTTTTTCTCTTTTATTGCTATACATTAATATGATCATCTTGATATTTCCTTTTTTAATCATGCGCGTGCGCTGTCAGTTTGATTTTTACCTGAATCTATAGCAGGAGATCATAATGAGAGAGCTTCGTTTCTTTCTTTTATCTTCTTGGATGGTGTCCAACCCTATTTTTTTGAAGAACAAAGTTGCTGTTTAAGGGTGAGTTACTTTTTGTTTTTGTATATTTAATCAAAATTGGCTCAATCTTAGTTCATTTTTAGGAGAAGAACTTGCAATTTGAGTGTATTATTAGTTTCTTGTTCCTCCTCTTTTAATTTGAGAGATTTGATGTGATATAAGAGTAAGAGAATAGAGACCAAAACACACAATATATATACTAATTCTTCTAAAGGATTTGAAGGATATTCAGAAAAAAGAAAAGAAAAGCATTTTAAGAATTCTGATCTTACTGCTACATATTGCAATCTGTATATGTTTGATCTAGAGGGGTTAATATACACAGGCAAGTGTGTTGAAGAGGAATTCATATATAGATCTCCCACTTTTTAGGACAATACTGTTCACCACTCCAATCTTTTTCTTTTTTATATGTCCGCTAGAAGAACCTTGTTCTGGCAGGGATCATGTTCAATAAGGTAATGTGTCACTTGCAATATGTCAGCAATTTTCAGATTAACAAAAGCAGTTTCTATTCTTGATCTGTGCCTATATTAATGTTTAAGAGAAAGTACATAATTATAATTATAAATTCAATTGATCAGCTTGCCAAGGCACTAGTAGTTAAGCCGTTGAATGCCATTCTACACTTCTGTTATGTATTTTGAGTAATACGATATATAGCTTTATCAGTGTAAAGTAGTCAGCATGAAATTTTGATTTAATTTGGTACACTATATATGGAGGCTATCAAATTAGTGATAGTACGTATTCAATTTTTTGGGCTAGAAATTAATTAGTTTAAAATACAACTGCCATTGAGGATTTCTCAAGAACTTGATCCCAACTATTCAGTGTTTAGATTGTGTAAAGAGGTACAATGTTACTCTTATAATTTTTGAATTTATGTTTGCTGAAGAAAGAAGACATGGCATTTTTTGTTTCATTAATTTAATTAATGCAATTAAATTTTATGGTTATGTTCAATTTAAAAAACGGCATAATAGTTGGATTATATATATATATATATATGTATGTATGTATGTATATGCTCCATGAAATTAGCTAGTAATGAGATGAGTTGGTGGAAATCTCCTTCACACCTAACAAAAGGATTAATTAGTGTAAACCTTTTAATACAATAATGTTTTGTTTTTGTGAACTAATATTAATTGAAGAAATGCAGTCATTAACCATATCTATGTATGCCATTTGGAATTAATATATAAAAGAAGTCGCTAATCAAATTGGGAAGTTAATCAGATAGCCCTTTTGAAGTTGTATTATATGACCTTATATATATGTTCTAAGTTAATCAAGATATGTTTATTTGGTCGTTTATAGATTTAGCATGAAACATCGATATATATAGGGTCCAAGTTTTTTAAGATAATCTACTCTCAATGACTTATGGTGATAAAATTGACTAGTTTGTGCATAAATTGCACTGGTAAGCAATTGTACTTGATCATTTCTCCATAATCACACATCATATATGTTGTGGCAAAATAAGGAAATATACTACATCCCGCCTGATGTTGAATCCAGGTTTATATAAGGCTCAAAGTTGTTAATTACTCATTATTCTTTTAAGTTGGGATGTTTATGGGTTTGAGGTACCCCTTGTACTTCTTTTTTCAATAAATATTATTTTTGCTGTTCAAAAAAAAATTACTCATTATTCTTTCTCATGCTTTAAACTCTTAATTTAAGTTCAGTCCTTAAATCTATTTTTAAAGGGACAAATCTATTACATTGGGAATGTAGGGCTGATTAATTTATTTTTGAAAGTGCAGAATATGGGAGGAAGCATGCAAGAACCAGGCAGCGGTTTATCCTTGACCTATTCTGAAATTATCAAAGGCAAGATATAGCTAGGTTCAAAGGTTAGCTTTATCCTTATAATTTAATTTGGCCAACAATAATTTACTTCTCCCTATTGCTGCATATATATGATCTGCAGCATGATATGTAGTCAAAACACCCATGGAATGCATGCGGTGGTGTTGTGGCACAAACCCCCAATCCTAGGTTAATGTATATTGCAATATACATTGGTCTTTTCAAGCTATATATATAAATCTCTAACCCTTGAAATTGTAGACATTGTATTATTATACCAACTATGAAACTAGAGAATATTAATACTTTGTTGAAAATCCTTATAAAATTTTTGTATTATAAAAGTTTGATTCTCTCACTTTGATTTCAAAAGTTTGATACTTTAGATATATTTATATAAATCAATGAATTGAGGAGTTTTATATTATTATTATTATTATTATTATATTTTTATTTGGTTGGGGAAGGGAGTGCGGCTTAATTTAATTGCCTGAGGTTTTAACTTTGCTTCTAAATTTTACAATTTTTTTTTTTTTTTTTGCATAATTAAGCTCAAATTTTAAGTAAAAGAAAAGGATATAGGTATGTGAGTGTGAGCTTGTTTGTGTGCGTGTTTGTCTAGAATCCACTACACCATTTATTTAGCCATTGATTTTCATATATTTCCAATAGGTGAGATAATGATATATAATATGTTTGGTATTTTGGCAAGGATATTTTGGGCAATGTTAGAAAAAAATCTTCTCAATAATTTAGTCTTAATTTGGATTTGTGAAATCAATTATGGCTATATATGGTAGCTATGAGTAATTTTGATTCTCTAACTGATCACCAAGTACCTATCTCACATATATACATAGGAAGGAAAGATGTGCTCTCTCTCTCTCTCTCTCTCCTCCTCCTCTCCCCTCCCTCTCTCCCTCCCTCTTGATAGACTGTGTGCCATTGCCACAAACCTTGCTAGTGTGGTTTGATTTTTGTAAACATCAACAATACCATTGAAGCCTAAATAAATGAATTATGATTTACATGTATAAAATCTATTTTGCCACATATCAACTTTGAGTTTTTAGGGCTATAAAAAAAAAAAAAAAAACTTTGAGTTTTTAGGCTTCTATCTTATCCAAGCCATCCCTTTGTATATTTGGCTCTTCAATCTCTCTTTTGGCTTGTTATGTTTCTCAAT